TAGTCATGCTGGGAGTTAAAGTGCCTTTAAGTTATCAAGATTGGGAACCCTTGCTCTAGAGATGCTCGGTCCATAGGATTCAACACTCAGAATCCTTACAAAATTTGAAATGAAATGTATTTTTAATACAAGAGAAGAAAATTATTAAATATAGCATTGAAGCAACCTTATTACATTAATTATATGAAATCAAACCACATTTATTTTTTATCCTGGGTTAAATTACTTTGTGAACTATGCCTTCTGCATGCCGCTCAAAGGCCATATGCAACTCCCAACCTGGACAAAGTTATACACTCCTATACTATACATATGGAGCACTGGTGGTGCAATGGTTAGATTGCAGAATTGCAGGCTAATTCTGCCCACAGCCAAGAGTTCGATCCTAATAGACTCATGGTTGAGTCAAACTTCCATCCTTCCGATATTGTTAAAATGAGGAGCCAGGTTGTTGGGGAAAATACGCTGACACTATAAACCATTCAGAAAGCGCTATAAAGTACTATGGGGAGGTATGTAAATCTAAGCGCTATTGCTATATATATAGGACCCATTCTTCCCTTATGAATACAATTCCTCTTTCCCTCATTAATCATAGAGAAAGAATTGAATTAAAGTAGCCTGGTTTACCTGATAGGGATGAGATTTCCCATCTAGGAAGGGGAACAAGTGTAAAGTCTGGATAAGGTTACAGTTATTAATGTCCTCAGGCATTTTTGATTATATAAAAAGTAAACTTCCTGGATAAAAAAAATGAAACAAGCCGAATATCTGTATCAATTTGGCTCCTGTAAAGAAATACAAATTGAGTGACTGTTTTGAACTTAAATTCTGTAGAATGGCCTCATCTTACCTTAGGTGACATTGCAATTATGCTCTGGTGGATAGAATCAGATACCAGAAAGAAAACCTACATATATATTATATACTAATCATTAAAATAGAAGCACTTACCCCTCTGAAATTCCAGGCTTTTGTGGAAGGAAACAAGGAAAAGTTGTGCTGTTGTTCTTTAGGCCTGTAAGATGCAAAGAACAACATGTTTTTTTTATCCTTTTGATTCTATCACCAGTTCTTGATGGCCCCTCTGGATTTATATACACAATACTAATATGCTAGGTAAATTAAGTTTAAACTGTATGGAGGCTTATTTATTTTACAGCTTTTAAACATACCAAGGGGAATAAAGTTAGTTATGTAATAAATGTTAATACTCAGGTGGAAGCAAGGAAAACTTGCAAGCAGGGGTGGGGGGGTGCAGCTTCATGATCCAAATCCTGCCCCCTTTGATCCGTGTCTTGAGGATTATAACTAGTCTCTGTTGTTGATGTTGCTCAGTTTTTGTTTTTGCTTTGTTTCTTTGCTTGTTTACCATGCATATTCTGTATTTCTTTATTTCCATCTAGGTGTTATTCAGACTTTTGTAGCCCAGGTAGAGTAATTATAATAAATCCCCAAGAGGAGTCCCAACACTGTCATGATACAAAATTGATTTACAACAATTCTTCAAGCATTTGTTCGTTTCCCCAAATCTCCTGAACAGAATTGAGACACTATTAAATCGGCAGGATTAGAAACAGATAATGTATTTACTGCCAGGAAAGGCAAAGATTAATAAACTACAGATATTTAGTGTAATATAAATTAATAGGTGACATATAAAGGTAGTCCTTGTTTAGCAACTGCCTTGGACAGTGACCATATGCAGTTATTACAGTGATGAAAGAGTAACTTTGCAACCAATGCCTGCTTTTATCACTTCTGCAGCATCTCACTCTCAATCATGTGTTTGCCATTCTAGTCAATTAGTATGCATGGTTCCTGCTTGAGCTTTTTTTTTTTCTTTTTCGCTCTTGGAAAATGACTGCCTAAACAATCTCTCTTCCTGAGCTGCTTTTCTCCATAGCATAGCACATCCCTAAAATATGCTAACGATTAATTAATAAGAAAAGCTCTGTAAACTTAGCGCCTCCTGCCAGCTTGTATTTCTGCCTGACACGGACAAGAACCTAATCAATTTCATGCTAAAAGATTTTATTTATCTCCTAAGCAGCTCATAGCATGCAGCTGCAAGCAAGCTAGGAAATAGCCAGCATCAGCACATTCCTTGTTACATGTGTTCCCTATTTTGTGCCTGCTTACTCTCTTGTAATCCTCTCCTCTCCAATGAATGTAAATACAAACATCAATTCTCTTCTGGCTAATTATCTTAGCACCTGCATGAATATTCCAAAGGATATGAGAGTAGGTAAAAAAGGGTTAAGATTTGCCGTTTTACCCAGCTTCCTGTGAGTTAAGTTCTGGAAACTCTCCTTGCTGTTTAGGCTAACCTAGCTGTTTGGAGGTCAAATCCTTTTGATGCTGTAAAGCAAAGGAAAGCTGAAGTAAAACTGTTCTCATAGACATAGTTATGTAATTTTCACTTAGTGACAATTCACTAAAGACTCAATCACCAGAACCAATTACAGTCATTAAACAACACCTATCTGTAGCCAGAGACCACACATGGTATAAATGAGCCCAACTATCTTGCTGGGAGAACTAGGATTCTGTGTACATTCACAACCTGACTTTTTTTTCCTGTGTAGATTGTTTTCTTAATCCCTCTTTTTCACATTTTTATGTGAAAAAGAAATTATATATACTTTTACTAGGGATGTAAGAAATTAGGGGAAAACAAGTTACTTATATTATGCAAATAAGGGTTCTTATTAACCCAGCCAAGGCCCATTTTGGGAATCCTGGCATTCGAGTAACAGACCTGCTATAGGACTGGATTTCCTGCAAAAGCAATTCTTTCTAATAGTATAGCTTATGTTCCTTAAAATACATGGCAAATAATTTGTAGGACTGATTTTTGTGCATTTTTAAAGCTAATGCTATTTAATGCATCCAATAATTCTTCATAGTTTGTGAGAAGTATGATTAATATTCAAACCATTTGGAAACCAGAGTGATTTATTATGATTTACATTAAGCATCTGACATTAAACGTCTGACTTGTTTAGAGCTATACTGTGAAGATTTAGAACAGAGGTGTCAAACTGGCAGCCCATGGACCATGCACCATGTGGAGGCCAAGCCCACCCCAGCTTTGTGAAGGGGGAAATCGTCAGGAAACATGATGTGACAGCAACATGATGTAACGAGTTTGACACCTGTGATTTAGAGGATTTGGGTTTTTTTTTCTCAGCTGGCATTCTCACAGAGGTGTTACTTGTGTGTACTAAATACACCTTTTAGAAGTTGATGTAAGACATATTCTTGAAGATGCAGTGGTGTCAACCAAAGATTTGAAACATTTTGTGTGGTTGAATTTTATACTGAGTCAATAAAGTGATCTTGCAGATATTATTAAATAAATATGCAGTCCCTGTTTTACCAGGAAAGATGAATATGAATGTAGGACACTTCAAAGTATGTAGTATTAAGCCTGCAGCATAATTCCTTAAAAGCTCTAGAAGTAAAATTAAGCCTCAGCTGTTGTGTTAGTTTGTATACAGATGGAGTTTTAATCAAAGGAGTAGCCAGAAACCCCAGCAGTAAGGTTCTCACATTATACTTGTGTTGCTTCCTCTCAACAATTATTAAAACAGCAAGAAAACAAAACTCTTATATAGCCTATATACAGGTCAACATTTAACATGAATTGTACATGTTAAAGAAAGTTTCCATTTATGGCTACAGAACAATTCTACAATAACAAAACAAGAATGATACAAGTTTAAAGAAAACAGGGCAAGCTTACCATAAACACATTAGAATCAAGTATACCTTTACTATTAATAGCAATACCACTTAGACTTATATACCGCTTTATAGTGCTTTATAGCCCCCTCTAAGCGGTTTACAGAGTCAGCATATTGCCCCCAACAATCTGGGTCCTCATTTTACCACCTCAGAAGGATGCAAGGCTGAGTCAACCTTGAGCCTGCTGAGATTCGATCTGCCAAATTGCAGGCAGCTAGCTACAGCAGAAGTAGCCTGCAGTACTGCACTCTAACCACAGCGCCACCGGGGCTCTGTTAAAATCAATGCTTATATAAAAAGCACTTTAAGGGATTCAAATCACTAAGTTTTCAGTACTTTAATGCTTAGTAAGTGTTAGGTTGTTCAGTACAGATATATGGACTAGCAAACTGCATAATAAAATGGAAATTATTCAAATATTTCCTTAACTCAAATCTACAGCTTTTAGACATCTCAGCAAAATGTGTTATGTGTTAAGTTGCCTCATCAAATGCATGTTGACTAAAATGACATATTAACTAAAACAGATTTCCAATTGGGAACTCATGACAGGCTTTCAAATTCTTGCAGCTTCACAACCCCACTATCTTCCAGAGTGGCTAAAAAAGGACTAATATACCACTGGACAACAGAAGTATCCTGCACAAATTAACAGAAGTACTTCAAACTTGCCTCTTTTAAAAGCAAGTATTTAAAATTAATAACTGAGGAAACATCACATCTTCTTTATGGAAATTATTAGTTTATTTACCCCAAAAGAAGATGACTTTAAACAATTTTTATAGGAGATGAGCCTGAGGGAAAAGTAAAGCACGTCATTAGACTTGAATCCCTTCGTGCTCATAAGAGATCTAAGTCAAGTCCACCTTCAATTCCACAGACTTTTATCTAAAATCAATTTGCTTTGATTGTCAGCAGTTCAGATTCTTGTAGAGAATGTTAATAAACCTATATTATTTGAACAGCCTTGGCTCCTGATCTTCTGCGTTTAAAATGATTCTCCCAAAGAAAATTATGCAGGAAAATGTTTTCAATCAGCAAATATTAGGTAAGATATCCATTTTAAAATTATTTATTAGGGCAAAATTCCTGGTCTTCCTTCCAAGCAAAAACAGTACTGTATACAGAAAATTAATACACTGTATTATTAAAAAAACTAGTATATACCACCCTCTGGTGTTCAAATTGGCTAGGTCTTCATTTTCACAAAGGATAGTCTGCTGAAAGAAAAAGAATGGCTCACAATGCCTTTTTAAAAAAGCTTCTTTGTTGTTATGGTGAAGTATGTGCTTTACTGCATCTGTTTTCAAATTCTTTATTTGTAATATTGGCCAGTTTTTATAATTTCTGACACACATAAGTCTGTATGTGCTGTCGGCACTTTTATGACTGGTGATCCATGAAGAATACACAAGGAATTTCCTTTTTCTGAACAAAAAAAGGCATCCTATAAAGATTTGAAACATGTGAGAACAATATTCTTTTTCAGAATACCGTATATTCAGTTTGAGAGGTTGAGATATTTGGTTCACATATATTATACTTTGCAGCATTTTTGTTACCAAGCTAGCTTAATATGGCTTCTTTGTATCTTCTTTATTTCAAAAAATGACTTTTTCTGTCCTTTTGTTCTAATTTGTTATAAATGTAAGATACAGTGGAGCCTTGGTCCTCGTCAGTAATTTGTTCCATAAGATGAGCCAAATATTCAAACTGATGAGTAAAGAGAAAAGTGTCGTTGGTTCTTGCCTGATACAACCTTTCTCTTTGAATGAAAATAGCATTCAGGATTGGGTTATCAGTCGCTGCTTGCTGATTGGACTGAATCTGTCAGATCTTTGAGGACACTCCCCTGTTGCTAAGGGTGCCCCAGAAATTGGCGAAGGAATAGTGACAGACTGACATGTTTTCTTGTTGTAATAACGTGCTCCACTGGATTCGGAACGACCCACATCAGAGTGGGGCTGGATTCTATCTCCACCCAAAGAGGTCAAAGTTCATATCAGGCAAGAACCAATGACCCTTCTCCATTGTGGTAGAAATAGCATCCAGGAATGGGACATACCAAAGCTGACTGTCCTACGGTGGGCCTAGTGCAGTCCCCTAGACAGGGGTGGGCCTGCTCATTGAGATCCCTGCTCAATTGAAGCTACTGGGGTTCCTGGTGTAAATCTGGTCCCTGACTGAGAGACATTCTGTCCACCGGCATCCTCCAAGGGTGGGACACAGATAGGTTTACTAAGTCTGCAAACCATGGCCTTCTGGGCC